CTCATTTTTCAACCACACATTCTTCATTAAAATAATATTATACGGAAATAAAAAAATTTCTTCTTTTTTAACCACACACTTCAACATTGATCACTATTTCATAATATACTTTTTGAAATTAAAGGGGCACAAATAGACCCTTAACTTATGGTTTTAGTTGTTTTAGTCGAAACTTATAAATCTCCTCCCAATCTCATTATAGATCACAAATCATTCAAATAGTGATCAAACATTAAACTCAACAAAAGGAAACGAGAGTCACAAAAATATGTTATTTTTCCATTCCATTTATATAGGTTGATTTTGTTTTTTACACTAATTAAGAGATTTCATTTAATATTATTGAAAAAAATTGCAAAGAATTTTTATATTTTACCTTTATTTAATTATCAACAATTAGTAGTATATAATGTGTTTTTGTCTATATTTTCAAGAAGAATGAAAAATGTGTGTATGTATTTGGATAATTCCAAGGTAAATTAAAATCTGTACAATTTTAAGATTACAAGTATTTTCAAGAGATTCTTTAAACATGACATGCTCCCTATTTTAAAGAGTCAACTTTTAATATATTGCCCTAAGAGATTCTTTAAATTAACACTTTAATTTAAAAAGTGGATTTGGCTCTCCAAATTTGAAAAGTTAAATTCACTCTTTATAATTAAATACATTCAAAGTGCTTTAATTTTCAATGTAGAAAAATAATAATAAAATCTAGAGAAAAACTAGTTAAAATAAAAATAGAGAAAAATAATAAATATTTTTTTGAGAGTAATAAAACTAAGTGTTAAATAAAAAGAGTTTGTTCGAGTACTTTAAAATTTTAACTTTCTAAATTTATAGATGCTCTTTAGATGATAGAATATATTCTTTAAAAATAGAGAGCCTCTTAAAGTTGCTCTAAGCGGGAGAAATTGACAGGCAAATTTAATAAGGGCATATTAGTAAACAAATAAACAAATACTTTCTCAATAAAGAAACATGACTATATATATAGGACAATAAAATGAGGAAAGTCAATCTATATAAATGGAATGGAGGAAGTACTTTATTATGACACTTTAAAAATAGAAATATAACCATTAAAACTAGCTATATATCATTTGTCCTAACTTTGAATTTAGCCACACAATATATAAAAACAACATGAGAATGTTGGAAAAGAAGAAGAGGAAACTAAGAACTATGGTTGAATCCTCAAGCATCACTTCGAGTCTTCAAGCTTACTTCTTCTTCAAGTTCATCCAACCCTAAGTGAAAGAATTGTTGTGTTTGTAGCTTGTGGACATAATCTTGAAACACGAAAATGAACCAAAATCGATAATATTCAAAATCACAACACTCAATAGGGCCAATGCCCAATTTGTCAAAAAGATAAAAATGATAAATTTTAAGTGTCGACCCAACACAAGCTAATAGTATTTTCAAATGAATGGATATCTAGAATATCGAGTGATTAAGTAATTGAAAAGCATTAAATGCATAGTAGGCGTCCATGTATTGAAAATTATATTAAAAATTCATGACAAGGGTTCATTTATGTCTTAGCAACTGAAAATCTAGATTAGCATTACAAAGTTACAAGAATTCATATTTGGTTTGTAAGACATCACCCGAATTTTTGATGTATGAAGAAAACAGAGAGGAATCATGAAATCTTGAACCTCTTCAATAGTTCTTGATTGATCTCCAACTTCACCCTCCTTTTCTTTTCCAAAATAATTTTCAAAGGATAGAGTTCTGGTATCTTGATTCTTGATTTCTCCCAAAAAAAAAGTATTGGCCTCCCTTGATTATAAGATTTTATGTATGGTATGATATCAGAGGCATCCTACAATGTTGTATGATATTCTGGATTCCTAGAAACTTGAATTAGATCAAAATTCACATTCAATTGAATTCCATAGAGTGTTTGCATCGAAAAGGGAAATTAGCCTAGTCTATTGTGCGTTCAAATAGATATACAACCTGCAATCACAAAGGCATGTTTCTTCCAGATGTGCTGTTGAATTTTAGGGGTTGCAATCATAGGTGATGCTATCGCACCCCTATAACTTGGGAAAATTCTCATTTTGGTCCTCAATTTTGCTCCTTTGTTCAACTTAGGTCCTTTCTTCGTCCAATTTTTATCATTTTTCTTCTAATTTCATCTAATTGATTGATCTTCAATCTTCATTCCTTAATCAATATCAATTTTTGAAAATTTATAATTTGTCCCTGAACTTTAAAATTCTTTCTTTTTCACCCTTATTTGGCCGATTATCACTTCGTTTGATCAAAGCCATCCAAAAATAAATATATTCTACAATAATCGATATTAATCAAATTAAATAGAAATTTCATCATTTAACTTTCAAATATTCACTTATAATGATCCGAATAGGCATTCACATCATCGAGCTCAAAGTTAGAACTCAAGCTCCTCTAGCTTTTCCTGATTTGATTCATAATTGTGCCTCTCTAAAAATGTTAGGTGAAATATACGTGAAGCGCCTCTAACAATCAAATAACAAAAAGGACAAAATTATATGCTTGTGTGTAAATCGTAAAGCATGGAGGGATTATCATCCATTTTTCCCTTGCAAATAGCAAACTACTAGTTATTACAGTATAAGTGTGATTTATGGTAGTGGTTAGAGCATCTTCAGTGTTGGTGTAAATTGGTATCTTCAAAATAAATTTTGCATCTTCATTCACATTCGGTGAAACTAAATTCAAATTCTGTTTCCATAAAAAGATCTAATAAATTCACTTTTTGTTTCTTGTGGATGTAAAAAAAATATAAATGTAAAAAAAATATAAATTAACATTTATTTATTTTTTTTTTGCCAAAAAATACAATTTGCATATCTTAATTGGAGAGATTTTCAACCACTTTGGAGATCTAAAGGGGTGTTATCTTTGTATTTCAGTTTTGTATTTTGAGTTTTGAATTGATTTTGAGTTTTGTGTTTTGAGTATTTGTTTTGAAATTGTTGAAAATGCATTCTTTTTGTTAGTTTCTCAAAACAAAAAAAAATGATTTTTTTTTTTTTTTGAAATTTTGAGAATCACCACAACACCACCTCAAAACACCAAAAAAAAAAAATTAATTAATTTTTAATTTTTTTTAAATTTTGAGAATCATCACACCACCTCCTCAAAAAAAAAATAATAATAATAAACAGAAAAAGGCGTTTCCCGCGTTTTCAATTTTTTCAAGTTTTACACTGAAAACGCCCAAAATGACAAAAAAGTCGTTTTGTGTTTTCTTCACAATTTTTTTTTTCGTTTTCGAAAATGGGAAAGAAAACATGTTTTCACCATTTTGAAAAATCAAAAGCAGAAAACGGCTCGAAAACGGTAAAGAAAACAGGACCTTAATCTCTATTTTACACACCATTGGAGATGCTCTAATTGCTCAATTTGAATGTATAACGGAGGAGTTACGTAATCAATCTTATAATATTACATTGATCCTTGATTTCAATATTCATGCATCTATTAACCTATTTGTAAAAAAAATTCTGTACACGTAGCTGAATTCTTTTTATTGCCTTCTTTATACTATTAATGGTTTATTTGTTTATTAATTTGAAAAGTTCAATAAACGATAATGTAGAGATGCTATAGAGAAGGGAAAAATTATGTTAAATTGTTTTTTTTTATTGGATATTTTGCCTATATAAATAATAATTAATTCAGACACTAACATATTTTTGTCAACTTTTTGTGACATTTTTATATTTTCTATTACCAATTTGACTCTTGACTTTTTATCTCTTTCGAATCAATGGTTCAGAACATTGCTAAAATAATTAAGACAAACAATAACATAGACATCTTAAATAAAATAGAAAATTAATTACTATCGAGTGATAAATTTTGTCTTATGAGATGCAGAAAATGCATTTCTAACTGTCCTATTAGACAATTTAAACGTAAATTAAATTGAGTGTTAAAAAGAGTGATAATGAAGTTTCACTTTGATCACTCGTCTTTTCTTGTTCTATCTTCATCTAGGTTCTCTCTTTCATGTATACAACGAAGGTGAACAGATTGATGTAAAGCAAATTTAGAATCAAACTTAGGAGACGTAGCCTACGTTGGTTCATGTTTATAAACACTCAAATCATTTTTAATTCACACATTTCAGCGAGTGTTTGGGAGCGATTCCACTCAAATTTTAATGAAAATTTTGACAATTAAACACAGTAAATGGGCCCACGTCTACAAGGAAATTGGCAAAAAAAAAGGGGACAAGAACTGCAGCCATCTTTCACCTAGTATTTGAAATGTCAAAAATGTCGTTATAATCGTGTGGACTTTAAAAATGTAGGAATACCATGGTCTTTTCACTAAAATTTCTAATTGACTGAACGACGCAGTCAAAAAATGCTGCAACATTGTGAGCCCCATTTTCTGTAGATAATGGATGAATTTCTCATTATAATTTGGAAAGAATCGCTCCCAAACACACGCTCAATATATTGACAAGTAGTATCCACTTATCCATTACTTATTTCTATTTATTTGTAATTCAAACTGCTTATAAACATTTGCTAAATCCTAACCATACCATAAGTTGGAACAAAAAGATTTAGGTGATCAAACTGAAGTTCTGTCACTAACAACATTTTTATCCAAAATTAATAACAATATATAAATAAATAGCATGTCATCTTCTTCGTACAATAAGGCCTGAGAGACGGTTAAATACATTTATGATTACTAAACTGTAGAAAATTTCATGTTGATCTGTAGACTTTATCTTGTTCCAAATTAACCATTGAACTTCAACTTTCTTTGTGTTGATCACTCCATCCGTATCCCAGAACAAACTAAAGAACTCCGAACACAATAAAGTTCAATGACTAATATGCAGTTTCACTAAAAATTCAGCGACTACCTGTGTTTTTAACCCACATGGGAGATCCTGGCCAAAGATCTTAGCTTTGAGATAAATGTTCCAAGGAAAATGTCAATAAACAGCAAAATGGAAATGTCAATAAACAGCAATGGGCACTCTTGACAGAAAACTATATTCACTTTTAACTCACCACATCTTGTTTCTCGGAAATAATTAATCGGTGAATTCATATGGAAAATTCCCATCATATTTATTCAATAAGATAATTTCTACAGATGGGATGTCAACAAAAAGCAGTAATCCGAGATAGTTGTACATGATTGTGGATAACATTACATCTTTAACTCAGTCAGTTGAAGTGCAGATGAAAGTGCTGCTGAAATCCTCGTCACCACTGTATAAAATCGTACAACAATCACTTTGTCTGAATCTCTTCTTTATCCTGTCAAAAATATATCATCTTATCAACGGAAAACTTTGGTGCAAAAGATTTTATATGGTCACAATATCATCTGGAAACCATCTATTTCTAACGAGTGGACTATTTAAACACTAGAAACTCATTGTGCACATCTCCACCTGTCGTCCTTTCTGTTTTGAGATGTTTACTGTTACACTCGCATCAAAACAAATTTGCAAGAAAGCATTCAACTCAGTACAGTTCAACCATGCAATGCAATCATATTTGCTTTTATTCCAATACCTCATCTCGTAAGATGCATTGTACATCAATGGATGGACAGCGTCAGAAAAGAAAAATAAGTTAATATCTTGTCTATCATATTGTACTGTATGGTCCGTATCCTTTCTAGTTATGCATACCAAACATACTTTTGAAGTTTAGAAAGGGGGTCTAAGGAGTTCTAAAGTTGCTAGAGGCTTTAGAATTCTCGAAGTTGTGAATTTACCATTCAAGATAACTAACTTTACAAAGAAAGCCCTCACGCACGTTATATAGATGCACGAGTTCCAAGGTAAGTATTACCCAAAAAATAACGTGTATATGATGACAAATTTAATTGTGTAGAAGCTTGTGCGGTAAGGGCATGGTTAAGGAATCAACAAGCTGATAAGACGTGAACTTAAGCAACTCGTAACAAGCTTTAATTAAATCAATGGGACCGGCTTAAAAAGATAGAGATTTTCTCTCTACTAGCTGCCCCGCTCATAGAATGGATCGCTCAAGAAGAGCACTTTTCGGGCATAAGATAGCAAAGTTTTAGACTCTCATGAGGCGATCCAGAAATGGAATGAAACTCATGATTTGATGATGAAAGATCAACCTAGCCAACGTGGCCTATGAAACCGGTTTCATATCTTAAGTAAGAAAGGTGAGAAAAGGTTTCCTTTTCTTGAAAAGAAGCTTCTTGGCAACTTGATTGTGCACAAAATGAAAGTCAATTGCAATATGTTTCATGTGAGAGTGGAAGACCGGATTGGAACAAAGATTATGTATAGGCAATGTAATTATGTTGCTGATGTATAAATCATAAAATATCATAGAGAGATGTAGGCAAATATTGGCGTAGGTTGGGAAGCAATACTAAATTAGCAGAAATAACAAGCCGCTAGGGTTTGAGCATGGTGAAAATTATAAGCTCATCTAGGTATCAAAGTTTACCTCTATCATAGTAAATTACACCTTGTATTCATGGACACGAATCCACTTTGTAGATGACCATTTGTTCCCTTTGATAACATGGCAGCCACCTGCAAGAAGCAAAGTAAGTTGATTCCACATCTAAAATGTTAAAAAAGCCATAGACAAAGGAAAATAAATCTAGCAACTAGATTATAAACATTGTGCTGATATGATGTTGCTGTCTAAGAAGACAAGCACTTCAAGAGACATCTGAAAGGTCTACCATAAATACCAGCGTTACAGAAAACAACCAGTCATAACTACGACTAACCATGCAAACTTGAAGGATCCAAAGTTGCATCAGGCTTCATGCTCCAGAAAAGTAATGCATCGCCCATCTTTGGTTTAACAGAAAGTCCTTCTTTACCACATTCAGATAGCTCATTCCACCAAGGCACAGAACTAAAGTTTCCTTTGGCAGCAGGGAATACCGTTTCACCCCCTTCTTCAACATCTGACCTGTAATACAGTGTGTTACTACCGATCATAAGAACCTACAGTAAGAGTATTGAAATAGAAAAACTCACTTACAGGTACATAAGAACTGTAGCAATTCGTTGACCACCATTCTTTGTGTTAAACTCGTCCATAAAATAGTCATAATGAGGCTCATACTTCTGGCCTACTTCATAATGGAGGACTTGAAGACCTTCCCCATGCTCTGTTGATTGCAAATTCATTCTCGTTAAAACCAAAATGTGAACAAAAATGCACATCATGTCAACATATGCCAAGAAAAACTGGAAATGAGAAAAAAAAATGATACAACTTTAGCATCATCTGAAAGCATACTTCCAAAGAAATCAAAACATTAAAATAAACAAAGCTAATTGGTAAAACAAGTCAGCTCCAATAAGGCAGTGGCATCTATGATTCCAAGGAATATGACTTTTTTACTGTGGAGACAGTGGCCCAACAAATTGCAATAACAGGAAGTGAAAATTGGAGTGATATAAAAACAAAAGGTTACTATATTTGGAAAATAGATGTGGTGACAGCTAAGGGTGGCACTACATCCAACTAAACAACTGCACTCTTGCAAAGTACTAGGCACAGATTAATGCAACTCCTCATATAAATACAAGTTCCCATTCTGTAATGCTAGCTCTTTTCTCCGAGGATTATGGTTACCCCTTTTGGATAAAGTTCAAATATATACGGTAACGCAAATTTCTTTACTTGCCTAGCCCAACCATAGTACAAACAACTACCGTTGACAAACTGGAAGAATTCAGCCAAAAGTAGAAGAGTTGATGCCAGACAAACTTTAGATCAAAACCAAACATATTTTGGTATTCCAAGTCTGGCCCCAACTAGTTTCTAAATCTTGCTACTTTCGTTTTACAGTATGATTGTCATCATGGTAAATGATAGAAGAATTTGCACGTAAAAACCATCACGAGCAGCAATTGAACTGCATACCTACAGGGATGAAGGTGAAATCAGCAATCCTTTTCTCAATATCGCTAACAATTTTATCACGTCCTCTAGGGAGAAATGTACCAGAACTAGTACGGACTCTGCAACAAACAATGTATCAGAAAAAATAGCACCGAAAAATTCAGAAACAAATAACACAGTAAAATTTTCCGTCTTCTCTGGTGCATCTTAAATACAAGGACTTGAAGAATTTAATAAACAGCATACCTACTATCCTTACTTTTCCCAGTGTCACTATCAACAACTGTTGACTTCTGCATATGAGGCTTAGCAAGATTGATCAGATACTCACATTCCTCTTTGGACTGCCCAAAAAATAGGAAAAATAATCAAGTAGCCCATGGACTTAGTTGAGGCATTAATTAGCAGATCAACAACATATTTATGAACAGAATTCATATGAAAAATATCTATCTCCCTACTCTGTCCATGAACTGGGAAACAAAAGAAAAAATTTCAAGCAACCATTCATGATTAACTTTCAACTTCAGACAACAGACTTCATTTTTGAGATACATTCATCTAGAGATCAAAAGTATGGTAACATCAACGTCAAGTCAATTTCTCTTGTGTCAGATACTATATTTTAGTGTCTGGTTGTAAGGAACACTAAGTCATCACCCAGCAGCAGAGAAACAGTAGGACCGTATTCTTCAATCAGCAAGTTGCCAAGTTCTGAACTACCTCCAAAAACTAAAACATGGTGCATTAACTCTGGTAAATGATCACCTGTGATGCAAATAAGAAAAGAGACTAGCAATTCTGTCACAAAGTTTAGCTTTAGTGAAATGCACTGTTCCTCAATTGGTGCATACATTTTTTTCCCCAATTTGTTCTCCCCCCCCCCCCACCCCCCGTGTGTGTGTGTGTCACGCTCGTTT